GGTTCTGTTTTAGTCTGTGGGTGCTGTGTTAGTCTGTGGGTTCTGTGTTAGTCTGTGGGTGCTGTGTTAGTCTGTGGGTGCTGTGTTAGTCTGTGAGTTCTGTGTTAATCTATGGGTGCTGTGTTAATCTATGGGTGCTGTGTTAGTCTATGGGTGTGTGTTAGTCTGTGTGTGCTGTGTTAGTCTGTGATGCTGTGTCAGTCTGGGTGCTGGGTTAGTCTGTGGGTTCTGTGTTAGTCTATGTGTGCTGTGTTAGTCTATGGGTACTGTGTTAGTCTGTGGGTGCTGTGTTGGTCTGTGGGTTCTATGTTAGCCTATGAGTGCTGTGTTAGTCTGTAATTGCTGTGTTAGTCTGTGATGCTGTGTTCGTCTATGGGTGTGTGTTAATCTATGTGTTCTGTGTTAGTCTGTGGGTGTGTGTTAGTCTGTGATGCTGTGTTAGTCTGTGATGCTGTGTTAGTCTGTGATGCTGTGTTAGTCTGGGTGTGTGTTAGTCTGTGGGTGTTGTGTTAGTCTGTGATGCTGTGTTAGTCTGTGATGCTGTGTTAGTCTATGGGTGTGTGTTAGTCTGTTGGTGCTGTGTTAGTCTGTGATGCTGTGTTAGTCTGTGTGTGCTGTGTTAGTCTGTGGGTGTGTGTTAGTCTGTGATGCTGTGCTAGTCTATGGGTGTGTGTTAGTCTGTGGGTGCTGTGTTAGTCTGGGTGCTGTGTTAATCTGTGGGTGCTGTGTTAATCTGTGGGTGCTGTGTTAGTCTGTGTGTGCTGTGTTAGTCTGTGATGCTGTGTTAGTCTGTGATGCTGTGTTAGTCTATGGGTGTGTGTGTTAGTCTGTGGGTGCTGTGTTAGTCTGTGATGCTGTGTGAGTCTGGGTGCTGTGTTAGTCTGTGGGTGCTGTGTTAATCTGTGTGTGCTGTGTTAGTCTGTGATGCTGTGTTAGTCTGTGATGCTGTATTAGTCTATGGATGCTGTATTCGTCTATGGGTGCTGTGTTCCTCTATGGGTGTGTGTTAGTCTATGTGTGCTGTGTTAGTCTGTGGGTGTGTGTTAGTCTGTGATGCTGTGTTAGTCTGTGATGCTGTGTTAGTCTATGGGTGTGTTAGTCTATGGGTGCTGTGTTAGTCTATGGGTGCTATATTAGTCTATGGGTGCTGTGTTAGTCTGTGTGTGCTGTGTTAGTCTGTGTGTGCTGTGTTAGTCTGTGATGCTGTGTTAGTCTATGGGTGCTGTGTTAGTCTGTGGGTGCTGTGTTAGTCTGTGTGTGCTGTGTTAGTCTGTGATGCTGTGTTAGTCTGTGATGCTGTGTTAGTCTATGTGTGCTGTGTTAGTCTGTGTGTGCTGTGTTAGTCTGTGATGCTGTGTTAGTCTGTGATGCTGTGTTAGTCTGTGTGTGCTGTGTTAGTCTGTGGGTGTGTGTTAGTCTGTGATGCTGTGCTAGTCTATGGGTGTGTGTTAGTCTGTGGGTGCTGTGTTAGTCTGGGTGCTGTGTTAATCTGTGGGTGCTGTGTTAATCTGTGGGTGCTGTGTTAGTCTGTGTGTGCTGTGTTAGTCTGTGATGCTGTGTTAGTCTGTGATGCTGTGTTAGTCTATGGGTGTGTGTGTTAGTCTGTGGGTGCTGTGTTAGTCTGTGATGCTGTGTGAGTCTGGGTGCTGTGTTAGTCTGTGGGTGCTGTGTTAATCTGTGTGTGCTGTGTTAGTCTGTGATGCTGTGTTAGTCTGTGATGCTGTATTAGTCTATGGATGCTGTATTCGTCTATGGGTGCTGTGTTCCTCTATGGGTGTGTGTTAGTCTATGTGTGCTGTGTTAGTCTGTGGGTGTGTGTTAGTCTGTGATGCTGTGTTAGTCTGTGATGCTGTGTTAGTCTATGGGTGTGTTAGTCTATGGGTGCTGTGTTAGTCTATGGGTGCTATATTAGTCTATGGGTGCTGTGTTAGTCTGTGTGTGCTGTGTTAGTCTGTGTGTGCTGTGTTAGTCTGTGATGCTGTGTTAGTCTATGGGTGCTGTGTTAGTCTGTGGGTGCTGTGTTAGTCTGTGTGTGCTGTGTTAGTCTGTGATGCTGTGTTAGTCTGTGATGCTGTGTTAGTCTATGTGTGCTGTGTTCGTCTATGGGTGTGTGTTAGTCTGTGATGCTGTGTTAGTCTATGTGTGCTGTGTTAGTCTGTGGGTTCTATGTTAGCCTATGGGTGCTGTGTTAGTCTATGGGTGCTGTGTTAGTCTGTGGGTGCTGTATTAGTCTATGGATTCTATGTTAGCCTATGGGTTATATGTTATTCTATGGGTCCTGTGTTAATATATGGGTTCTGTGTTAGTCTCTGGGTGCTGTGTTAGTCTATGAGTGCTGTATTAGTCTATGGATTCTATGTTAGCCTATGGGTCATATGTTAGTCTGTGAGTGCTGTGATAGTCTATGGGTGCTGTGTTAGTCTGTGGGTGTTGTTAGTCTGTGTGTGCTGTGTTAGTCTATGGGTTCTGTGTTAGTCTATGGGTGCTGTGTTAGTCTATGGGTGCTGTGTTAGTCTATGGGTGCTGTGTTAGTCTATGGGTGCTGTGTTAGTCTATGGGTGCTGTGTTAGTCTATGGGTGCTGTGTTAGTCTATGGGTGTGTGTTAGTCTATGGGTGCTGTGTTAGTCTATGGGTGTGTGTTAGTCTATGGGTGCTGTGTTAGTCTGTGTGTGCTGTGTTAGTCTATGGGTGCTGTGTTAATCTATGGGTTCTGTGTTAATCTATGGGTTCTGTGTTAGTCTATGGGTGCTGTGTTAGTCTATGGGTGCTGTGTTAGTCTATGGGTGCTGTGTTAATCTATGGGTTCTGTGTTAGTCTATGGGTGCTGTGTTAGTCTATGGGTTCTGTGTTAGTCTGTTGGTCGAATCCCACGTGAAGGTGCAGTGTTGGAGCAGCGTTGGCATGTGGTTTAAAACTGGTAAACTGTTGGACGATCACCGGGGATGTGAGCCTGTGGGTACGATTCCAGTCTGTGGGTCTACTTGTAAGGCTGTGGGTCACAAGCACAGGTGGCCGGCGTGGCCGGCGTGCCCGGCGTGATTGGCGTGGTTGGCGTGGCTGGAGTGGTGCAGCAATGGAGTGGTGGAAGAGTTAAACACTGGGGGGGGGGGGGTAGGGGGGAAGTGTTGACGCCGGGGAGGAGTGGAGGGTTAAACGCGGGGGGGGGAGATATGACACGGGGGGGGGGGGGGGGGAGTTAAACGTGGCACGCAGTCTCTCGCGGGCAATTAGTCGTGGCTCGTGTACTAAGTCACTCTCGTTTAGGCGGATAGACACTCCCAAGCTGAACTATAAACTATTTTTAATTTTACCAGGTGAGGCCCCCTGAGCTACGTAGCTGTTTTTTTTTTCACGAACGAACCTGGCCACAGCCGATAGCCCAATGAAGTGGATTGTCACGTGGACATTTACAGCGGTAGCCAAATACACTCAACCCGTGATGTTGATTTTAAATGTGGAGGGGTTAAAACCGGAGGACCCGGAGAAAAAATCCACGCGACCACGGGGAGAGCGTACAAACTTTAAATATTGCAACAGGCATCAGGGTTGGAATCGAACCCACGAACCTCCTGCATACCAGGCGAGGTGGCTAACATCTCACCACCACTGTTGCAGGGAAAAGCTGAAGCGTGGTGGTGCTGACCCACACCGCATCCTCGCGCGTTGCATCGGCCTTCATAGGTGCTCCCTGACGCAGCGCTTGCCCCCAATGTCCGATAAGCCTGCGGTCATTAATAACGACGAAAACCTCTTTAACCCTCTGCTCGATTAAAACGACGCCCCCTGCCAGGTCGATCACAGGGCGTGTGCGTGAGCACGCTCCGCCGTGCTGGGCGGTGCAGGTTGGTGAAGAAGCACCGATGTCTGCCTCGAGCGGGAAGCAAACTCGGGTCAGCGCGCTGCGCTACGAACCTGGCGGCCCCCGAGGTTCCATTCCTACTCGCGGGCAAAACCAGTGACGAGTATTATCTGAACCGGTTCTGGGCCTTTCCTAGGTCGACTCGGCCTCAAATGAGTACGTGGTGTGGTGTGTAAACATTGCTACTGGGGAGACAAAGGTGGCCGGGCGTGGTGCTGGCCACCCACCCCCCTCGTCTGCCATTCCGGCCTTCATAGGTGCTGCTCGCTATCAGCACTTGCCCCTACAGTCTGCTAAGGCTATACGGGGGTCTTTGTCTTTTTGCGTTGTCGTGACCTGTAGTGTGATGGTGGATGAGGCGGAAACAGTCGGTGTCTGGTACAGCAACGAGTCCTCAACACAGGGTGTGATCGAGGAATCACCAATGATAGCAGCGGTGATAGCAGAGCGCCGAGCGAGTGGCCGGGTTAAACTCGTGAACGCGTTGGCCCCGTCGATCAACCTCACACCGCGGGGGCATTGAATTCTCCGCGTTGATAGAACGCCGGCGTTTAGCAGCGGCCTTGGCCGCGATGACCACGGATGGCTCGCGCACACACGCGGCTGAGTGATCGTGAGCACGCAGGGGCTCTGTGGCCACCTGGCCCACACCGCGGTCCAATCGAGATTGCTTGGCACGAGTTTTATTTGCCCAAGCTGCTTGACTAAACCACGGCAGCACCCCTATATCTGGCTTTATGGGAATACGTGCGTGTGTGTGTGTAACCTGTGTAACGTGCATAGCGCGTGTGTGTGTGTGTAACCTGTGTAACGTGTACGTGTGTGTAACCTGTGTAACGCTTATAACGTGTGTACGTGTGCTACGCGGAAGCGTAGCGGTTGGCGGGCTGCACTACGAACCTGGCGAGCCGACATCAGTTCCCGCTCGCGACCAATAATGACGTCGAATATTTGAACCGGTCCTGAGCCCTCCCCTGGGTCGACTCAGCCTTCAAATGCGAGCGCCTGAGGCGGTGTGTAAACAACATCGGCGCTGGGGATACAAAGGTAGCCCCTCGCTAACCGGCACTTCCCCCGACGGTCCGCTAAAGTCTACGCCCGGGGGAATCTCTTTTTTTTTTTCCCCGTGCCGCCGCGCAGGCCCTCCTGCTGCTGTCCCGGAGGGGACCGTGACTCCGCCGGGCCCGACATGCCCCGTCAGACCGACGGCGCCGACGCCACCCTCGACGCACCGCAGCGTCCACCGCGGGACGCCTTCGGCGGCGCAAGCGACAGCACCGGCGGCGCCGGTCCACCGCCACCGTCGAGCCCCGGACTCTCGCTGAGCATGGCCCACCTGGTGATGAGCGAGGAGGAGCTGGAGGAGCTCGGAGGGACCGAGGAGACCGACTCGCACCGGCGGACGGGTGAGCGGCGGGTCGTGGTGCCCCCTTGCAAAGAGGTTGTGGGTTCGATCCCAACCCCTGACGACGCCTGCTGCTGTATTTTGGGAGTTTGCGTCTCTCTCTTTCCACCGTGGATCTTTTTTTTTCGTGCATTGAGATTATTTGGATTGTTTTCGCTGCTGTAAATGTCCACGTGATTATGCCACTTTGTTGAGCTGTCATTTGTGGCCGGGGTCGCTTCTGAAAAATAAGTAAAACACCTCGGTGGGCCCCACCTGGTGAGATAAAAGAATGTAGTTTCGTTTGTGCATTTTTCAAGTAATTTGTTTACCTTTCTTATACTTTGCACTCCTATCGTGGTTTTTTTTTCCTCTGTATCGTTTGTCGTTGTAACGTTCCGACCCCGGTGCCCCCTTAATGGAGATCTCTGAAAAAAAGAGCTTCATAGTCCATCACATTCCTCCTCCAGCAATAAATAAATATTCCGATATCTGATGCGTCGTAAAAGTTCGCTCTCTCCCGCTCTCTCTTCCGCCTGTCCTGCATGGTCGGTTTCCTACGCGTCGTCCGATTTTTCTTCGTCCCACGGCTCATAAAAACATAAAACCTCAGATTGCACGCAACCCAAACGGAAGTTTTCAGACTCCGCCAACAGCACTTGTCCCTGGCGGTCACGGCGATGGGGGGGGGGGGGCCTTTGTCTTTGTGCGCGGTGCGCAGTCGAAGGAAGGATTCCCTTCATCGCCGTCTTCCACCTGAGTCAGGTGAAGAGCGCCCAGGGCTACGTGTTCCTGGACTCGACGCCCATCCGCGTCCGCGTCACCGAGGTGGAGAAGACGGGGAACTCCAAGAAGGTCTGTGCTGTCGGCTCCCTGCCAGACTCGGCACCTTCTTCCTCCTCTTATTCTCTTTCTCTGTTAAACAACAACGCACAGTGGTCACCACACTGGCCGTCGTCTTCCTCATTGTTTTGTACGGCTGCTGCTGATGTGCAGATGCCGAGCAAGCAAAAAGACTACAATGTCACATTCAGGTGGTCAAGCCAGACGCAACCGTGTCAGGAGCGGCGGAGTCGTGTATCGCCGTGACGTCACGCTGGTGTCTCGCAGTGTTCACACACCTGGGTTCGGTTCCTGACCCGGGCACGTTTTCTGCGTGGAGTTTGTGTGTTCTCTCCCCCGGTTCTGAGTGGGTTTTCTCTGAGTTCTCTGCGTGGGTTTCCCTCCCGTGGCTCGCCATAAAAGAGAGACTCGTACAGATTCGTGAGACTCGGCGAGGCTTTCCTGGGTAAACAAGTGTAATAATAATAATAAGTCACAATTATTGATGAGTGGTAGAGAACCCTTTGCCCTGCAACAGAAAATAGGAGACAGCAGCTGTCATGTTCGTAGTGTTGGCACAACGATCCCGTACTCGGACCACACACACACACACGTGTCCGCTTTTGTGTGTAATAATACGATGCCAAGATGTATTTTTCCATGTGATTTTTTTTAAATATATATTCGCTAGGATTGAAAGCATATTAATAGCATTAACAGGATCGCAGATTGAAAAGTTAGAGTAATGTTCAAATGAACCGCGGTCCGTGTTCATTAGTCCCAACTGTTCGGAGTCGCTATCTGTTACATTTCTTCCCAACATCTTATTCGGCCGTTTGAATGCAATTCCATGCTTTATTTTTTTTGACAAATAAAAATCCCATTTAGCCAGTTACCCAGCTAGCTTCGGTGGCAAAGACCTCTAGCCACTACTCAAGAGTTAATACCTCGGTGGGCTTTGCCTGGTAGGATGGGGATGCTTTAGATAAGAAAATTTGTGTTTGGGTGGTTTGCTTTAGAGGCCGACCGAAACTGAATTTCTGGTTTCGGCCGAAACCGAAAGTTAAAAATTTACTTTCGGCCGAAACCTAAAGTTAACTTTTTGGCTTGGGCCGAAACCTAAAGTTAACTTTTTGGCTTGGGCAGAAACAGAAACGATGCCGAAAGAGGCCATTTGCCAACTTTTGGCGCCGAAACAGAAAACGAATTTCGGTGGGCCTCTAGTTTGCTTACCTTTTCATGTACTTTGAACTACTATCGTGTATCCGTGTTGTTTGTTGTTGGAACGTTCTGACCCCGTACCCTTACTGGACATCTGTGAAAAAATAGCTTCATAGCTCATCGGATTCCTCCTGCAGTATAAATAAACCATATTCTGATTCTGAGAACCCATTGGGCCGGAGAGGAACCGAGCCAGGAACCAGCCAGGAACCAGCCAGGAAACGGGAAGCACAGACTGCGCGGTAACGGGAGCGCGGTAACGGGAGCGCGGTAACGGGAGCGCGGTAACGGGAGCGCGGTAACGGGAGCGCGGTAACGGGAGCGCGGTAACGGGAGCGCGGTAACGGGAAGCCGATGCGGCCGATTGCGCGTGCCCCACGTTCTCACCGCACTTCTGTGCCACGACCCCCCCCCCCCAGATGGAACGTGCCAACATGTACACGGTGCGGTTCACTCACGGCGACTTCTCCTGGGACATCAAGCGCAAGTACAAGGACTTCCAGCAGCTCCACCACGACCTGCAGCGCTACCGCGCACTCCACCGCATCCTGGAGCCCGCCCGCAGGTCCGCCACATGTCCACCCCCACATGTCTGCCACATGTCCACCCCCACATGTCCACCCCACATGTCCACCCCCACATGTCCACCCCCACATGTCCCTCCCACATGCCCCCCCCACATGCCCCCCCCACATGCCCCCCCCAATCCCCCCCCACATGCCCCCCCCACATGCCCCCCCCACATGCCCCCCACATGCCCCCCCACATGCCCTCCCCACAGCCTCCCCCCCACGCCCCTCCCAATCCCCCCCCCCACCAGTCTCTCCTCCCGTGCGAGGCCACATGACAGAGAGAGACGCTGTAGACAAGGAGGACGATGTTTGTTTAGGTTTTAATCGTGCACGCTCCATCGGAGGCGGTGCGGTGGCCGCCTGTGGGTCTCATAAATTGGTGGGGGTACAGAAGCCTGCATGGGGGGAGGGGGGGGTTAGCGGGGGATGGTGGGGGGGGAGCAGTGGGAGTGAAGATTAATTATCAGTTTAACAAGTAGGCTTTCACGGCCAATATCATCCATAAATAGAGGTTGCAAGAACAAAAAACCTCTATCAATGGGAAGAGACACGATGCAGGTGATGATGCTTACAATAAGCAGGCGAGTATTTGTTTGGGGTTGTTTTCGTGACGAGCGGGTCTGGCTGGCCAATCGACGAGCCGCCCATGCTGCGCTTGAGTTCAGCGACGTCACCGCGGCCGCAGCTCCTCCGCGCCGCTCCTCGCCCAGCCGTCAATCCACTGCTGGATGAGGGCCCCTCCGCCCAACGCCGCGGCGGTCACGGCAAGGAGGGGGGGGGGGGGGTGGGGCCGTTACAAAAATCCGTGCGAGCGCGCGCGTAGCTTCTCGTCGCTCGGCATCTTCCCCCTCTCGCCGGCGCCACCGCCGACGCCTCCGTTCCCCGCCCGCAGCCACCTCGAGCGCCGCCGCACGGTGAAACCGAAGCGGGAGGGCGCCGACTCCAAGATCCCCGAGCTGCCGTGCCGCCTGGAGGGCACGCGGCGAGAGGATCCGTTCGCCAGGAGGGAGGACTACGTGTCCAGCCGTAAGGTGGGTGGGTTCCGGTCCCTCGCCGGGGCCGGCCGGAGCTCGCCGGACCGATGTTGCGGTGCGACTTCACACAGTCCGGGGGCAACTGCGCGAGGGCAGCCACGCGGTAGTCGTCAGATTTGGCAAAGTGGGGACGCGAGACCGGCCGCACGTGACCCGCCTACACCTTGTTGAATGACGTCATGTGACGTGGGTGGGTGGGGGCGGTATTTAAATCCTCGCACCAAGGGCCCACGCCACCCACGCTCGGCGGCGGGCGTCCCTCTGCAGATTCATCTCGTACGTGGAAACACGCACGGGGTATACAGGGGGCTTCACAAAAATGGAAACACCTCTGAGAGTTTGCAACAACGCCACAAGAAATGTGCCTGGAGAGCAGAATGATGGAGAAAAATGTGGGGACCCTTTGATGTTTTGAAACTCTTAGCATACATTTGTTATCATCTTACAGATAGTCGACGATGGTCCCATATAAGTGTTAGCATTTCTTTAAGCACCCTCTATTGTACGCGATATATACAGCGCCTTGTGACCTCCGGGGAGTGACAGGCGCTATTGAAGTGTAAATTATTGTGGTGAGATGTATGAAATACGAAAAAAATGAAAGCACGTTTTTAGGCGAGACGTTGCCCCCGTGACGTTTCCGCTTCCGTGTGTGCTCCAGAAACAAATCGAGAACTACCTGAGCGGCCTGCTGCAGTACCCCGTCTACAGGAACCACGCGGCCACGGTAAGGGGCCCCAGCGCGGTAGGGAGCGGCCGCACGGCTTGTGAGCGGTTCTCATCCGCCAGTTCGCCCTCTTGGTTCGACGGCCCGGCCCCTTCGTTCAGCAACGCCCGAGGCGGCTGTGAACGTCTCCTGTCAGAATTTAGAATCTTTATTTAGACAGGCTGGAGGAATCTGCCCTGCCTAATGTGTGGGGGGGGGGGGGGGGGGAGTTGCCTTTGTGGGGCCGCTGGCTTGCCAGCAGCATTCGATTTGGCAGGCAACATCTGGGCGGGTGAGGGCAGCTCCACAAATTCTTGCTGGGAAACGTTGATCCCAGGAAGCCGCCGTGTTCACGGACAGCAATTCCTCGCTGTGGAATATCTTCAAGAGATCGCAGAATATTTGAGGTGACGACGACGATCTGCTGACCTTGACCCACGTCTGGGTGGATTTTCCGTTTCGTATGGGAAGCGTCTTGGATTCACCAATCATCCACCCAGCAGATTAAACCACATCTCGATGCTATCTACTCGCCCACGCACGCACGCACGCACGCACCCACGCGCACGCACTTGGCTCAAACAACCTTGACATCACGCGGCCAACCTTTCACACTCGAGCGAGGAGACGCATGTCCACAGATAAAGGGCCCCTTCATGTAATCTCCGAAATCGCAAGCGGGGCTGTTAGCACGACGGGCTGTGAAACGGTGGCGCGGAGCTACCGAGCGCAGGCGGCGCCAGCGCCCAGGGGCCTAGGAGGGGGGCTCAGGGCACCGAGCTACAAAGGGAGGGGGGCGTGGGTGGCGGAGGAGGGGGGGGGGGTGGCGCGGGGAGCGATCCCCCCTCGGCTACAGCTCCTCCAAAGACAAAGATCCCCTGGTGTAGGTTTTCGGCCTGTTTGGGCAAGTGCTTTTAGTTAGTGGTGCCTATGAAGGCTGACACCGTGCACGTGGAGAGGGGGGGGGGTGGGACAGGGGGTGGCGAGTACGACGCCCGTGTGTGTGGGAGCGGTCAGCGCTACGCTGCGCTTTGAACCCGACGACCCGAGTTCGATTTCCGCTCACGGCCAACACCGGTGACGATTATCTGAACCGGTCATGGGCCTCCCCTAGGTCGACTCGACCTCAAATGAGTACCTGGCGCGGTGTGTAAACATCGCCGCTGGGGAGACAAAGGCGGCCGGGCGTGGTGCTGGCCACCCACCCCTTCGTGTGCCGTGCCAGCCTTTATAGGTGCTCACTAATAGAACTTGCCCCAACAGTCTGTTCAGGCTATACGGGGGATCTTTGTCTTTTATATCTTTTGTGGTTCCTGCGTTTGGATGTTGCCTGCCAACTACATGAAGGAGTGTTTCTACGCGGCTTGTGAATCCACTCTCTCAACTGCGTCTTTCTCTCTCTCTCTCTCTCGTCTCCTCTCCCTGGGTGATGCAGCTGGAGTTCTTGGAGGTCAGCGGTCTGTCCTTCATCGCGGACCTGGGGCCCAAGGGCATGTGAGTTTTGTCTCTCTGCCATCTCCGGCAAGAGACCGCCTGTCCCCGGGTTTGAGAACCCCCAACAGTCCGGGAATTGGCGTCTGTGTTTCGGGCGGTTGCTGGAAGCGATTTGATCTGCGACCGGTGGGTGTTGCGTTGAACCTCGTTGCAGGAGGCTGCCACGTGGCTCTAATGATAGACCCAGTGCCGCGTGAGGTATAGGTCTGGGTTTGGTCTACAGTGGAACAGGTGCCAGCCCCCTGCCCATTGATGGAGCTCACTGAGACGACTCCTACGAACCAATTTGCAGGAGCCTCGGTGCAACGTTTCAGAGTATTCTTTGTTTGCTCAGTCACTTGGGTTAATTACGACACCAATGCAGGAAATTACATTTATTTATACGTGCGTTGCTTCATCACCATCGTCATCATGATTGTCGGCCGTGGTCAATCCACTGCTGGATGAAGGCCTCCTCCCCATGCCGACACCACCTCTCGTGACCCCGTGATCTCCTCAAGCAGCCGCACAATAATTGGTCACCGTCGCCTGCAGCAGCGGTGGCTGCTGGGTAAAACTTTTTATGGCGCCGGTGGCAGGTGGAGAAAAGGGACGGTTATTGGGCGGGGCTAGACCGATGTTGGACATCTGTGAAAAAGAGCTTCATAGCTCATCGGATTCCTCCAGTATAATTAAATATTCTAATTCTGCTTCTATACAAATGGCCTTGGAATGATGGCTTGTTATGGCCGGGAGCTGGAATTAAATCCTCACTGATGTAATGATTTGATCTGTTGCAGCGAGGGCTACATTGAGAAGCGATCGGGTGGCTACAAGATGCCCGGCTTACACTGCTGCGGGAAGCGCGAGGTCTGCTTCCGGTGGTCGAAACGGTACGGAGCTCAAGCGGCAGTGCCGCTCAGGTGAAGGGTAGAGGGGCAGCCCTGCAATGTCTCGCTCTCGCCGCTGCTGGCAGAGGTGTGGGGGTGCCTCTCCGCTCGTGGGAGCTCTCGAGAGGCCCTCCTCGATAGAAACTTAAAACTATTTTTTATTTTGCCAGGTAAAGCCCACTGAGTGAAAACAGATTTTTTTTTCAGAAGCAACCCGGCCACAAATCGTAGCCCAATGAAGTGGCTTATCGCGTGGAGGGGAAAAAATCGGCAGACCGCAGTGAAAAATCCACGCGGCCACGGAGAGACACGCAAACTCCAAAATATCCAGGCGTCAGGGTCGGGATAGAACCCACGACCTCCTGCATACATGGCGAGGGAGATAACATCTCCCAGCCACCGCGGCACCCTAACAAATACTGTCTGGACTTGAAGCTTTCGTGACTGCAAGGATTCATACTCTTTGGTTTTTTCGGTAACGTCACGTAGGTAAAATAAAATAAAACAACTAAATTAAATCACGACGTTTCGGAGGCAACACAAGCTTCCGTCTTCAGGTGGAATAGTTACAGCAGAATCGCTGTACCTTGTGGACAGCTCTTGAGACGACCGGGATTATATATACAGGTTAATAGTTTGGCTGGGAGGAGCCAAAAAGGGACGTGGGTGGGGGGAGGGCTGAGTTAAGCCGCCTTTTGTTATGCTGCAGGGGGTTCGGGGGGAGAGATACACGAGTACACGCAACCCACTGAGAGCAATGGCAATGGCTGTACAATTATAAGGCAGCTAACGTTTGACTTGGTTTATGACATCTTTCCAATGGTTGCTCAATTTGAAACCATCCTCTCGGTTGAAGTTGTGCCTGTGTTTGTATATCTGGATGGCTTCATGGACAAATCTCTGGTAATAACCGGGAGGTTTGCATAGTACGTTGGTATCGGAGAAGACAATATCATGAGAACCCGCTGTGTTGAAACAATGATCAGCCACGGCCGAAGAATTCGTTCTGCCGTGTTTCAAATATGATTTGTGCTCGCGGATTCGGTCAGAAATGTCGTTTCGTCTCCCCGATATAGCAGTCACCACAGGTACAAATAAATTTGTAAACACTGGGGATACTGTAAGTCAGGAATGACATCCTTTATGGATGGGATCAGATCACGGATTTTGTGTGCTGTATTGAACCGGACCTGGATCTTGTGTTTGTTTAGAATTTTGGAAATCTTTTTGGTAACGCCTGCTATGTATGGTAACGTGATGATTTTGATTGGAGTATCAGGTGGTTGTATCTGTATGGTGGAAGAAACAGCTTGGCGGATAGTACGGTCAGAGTATCCGTTTATCTTGAGGGCCAGATGTACATGTTTTAATTCACCAACCAGGTGGTGTTGGTTTTTATCGTTAGGCTGTTAGTAGGATCACTTTTAATTTTTGAGTAACTCCCATCATTGAGTAGGTCCTGGATTAGGACCTACTGGGAGGTCTTGCAGCCGAGGGTTTTAGGGAGGGAAGTTTGGACCTACTCAATGATGGGAGTTACTCACTGCCCGGGAAGCTCCACCCGCTACTCAGGGTAGCCCCCGCCCACTATTCGGGTAGCCCCCGCCCACTATTCAGGTAGACCCGCCCACTAACTCTGGTAGACCCGCCCACTATTCAGGTAACCCCACCCACTACTTGCTTGACCCATTGCCCGCACCGTGTGTCAAGCATGAAGCCAACATGTTTAAAAATCTGCAACAAATCGTGATTTTTACAAAAGCTTCACAGTGGCCCGGAGGGTGGGGGGGAAGTCACTGGAACACAGGTCATCTATGTAAAAAAAAAAGTTTCATAGCTAATCGGATTTCTCTAGGATATATAAATATTCCGATTCTGACCCCATTTGGCGGTGAGCGGATGACGTCTGACGGAAGAGCGAGATTGAAAAGTTACTTCTTTAAAACTACTTTTTGTGTTTAGTTTGTTGTCCTTCCCCCGTACCTCCGATTAGCGCGGTTGGCTACATGCGGTGCGAAAGAAGTTCACCAGACATGCATAGCAGAGGGACGACCGGTGGGTGACGGTGGTTGTGGTGGTGCGGCGTGTTGTAGGTGGCTGGCGGTGAAGGACTCCTTCGTGCTCTACATGAAGCTGGACGAGGGGAAGATCTCATCGGTGATGCTCTTCGACTCGGATTTCGTGGTCAAGATCGGCCAACAGCACACGGAGGTGCGCAGTGGTGTCGTCATCCAGAACCTGACCAGGTGAGACCCTCGCCCGCCCGCTCGCTCGCTCGCCCGCCCGCCCGCTCGCCTGCCTCACCCCATCTCACCTGTCCGTCTGTTGGTGCGGTTCGGTTGGCATGGGTTGTTTGAAAGTCCTGTTCTGGCATCGGTAAGTACAGATGATTCCTTGTTCGTCACGGTTACTGGTTACTACGACCACCATTGGTACTGTTCCTGTGAGCTTCACCCATTCATTCCTTCATTCGTGTTGAGGACTCGGTTCTACCAGATGCTGTTGTGTGGCTCATCCACACTGTGCTCACAACAGCACACTGCAGATCACAACAGCACACCCACACTCACTCACTCACCCACTCACTCACTCACCCACCCACCCACTCACTCACTCACCCACTCACCCACCCACCCACTCACCCACCCACTCACCCACCCACTCACCCACCCACTCACCCACCCACTCACTCACTCACCCACTCACCCACCTACCCACTTACTCACCCACTCACCCACTCACCCGCCCACTCACCCGCTCACCCACCCACCCACTCACCCACTCACCCACTCACCCACCCACTCACCTACTCACTCACCCACCCACTCACCCACCCACTCACCCACCCACTCACCCACCCACTCACCCACCCACTCACCCACTCACTCACCTCAATGCCGGTCATAACACTTCTCTCTCTGCTCCTCTCCTCGCACCGCTCCGCTCTGGAACCCTCCCTCCATCCCATCGTCCGTGTCTCCAAGTAACCCCTCATCTTGCTCCATTCAAGAAAGGTGTTACGCTACTCTCCAGATTGAGGCCCGTTTTCTCTCTGTGTGTTCAAGTAAGAATTTAATGTTTTGTAAGCCTGTAGGGGTGTTTGTGTGTGGCTGTACCACCGCGTCTCACTACCGAGGCGAGCGATATCGCCGCCCTATGAACCTGGCCACCCGAGTTCGATTCCCGCTCACGGCCTCCAACACCGTTGGTGATTATCTCAACCGGTCCTGGGCCTCCCCTAGGTCGACTCGGCCTCAAATGAGTACCTGGTGCGGTTTGTAGACATGGGCACTCGGGAGACAAAGGCGGCCGGGCGTGGTGCTGGCCACCCACCCCCTCGTGTGCTGTGCTGGCCTTCATAGGTGCTGCTACTCACTAACATCACTTGTCTCAACAGTCTCTTGAGGCTGTGCTGGCGATCTTCATCTTTGACCGGATTTATATGATCTTATTTTACACCAAGCACAAGTTTGAGGTATCTTTTACTTCCCGGAGCATCTCATGATGTGGAGAATAATGGTAAATGTTATCTATTACTCCTTCAGGAGTTCTGTTTGTGGCTGGCCGTTTGGCATTAGTGGACCTTTTTTGGTGGGTGGTGGGGGGTTCGGGGGAGAGGGGCAGCGGCTGTTCTCAGTAAGGTCGATAAATTAAATAAATCCTGGCCGATGTTCGTGTCACTCCGCGTTCCACAAAACCTCCCCATCCATCTCCACGATACCCTCCCTCCCACCCACCCCCCCCACCCGCCCCGCAGGACTCTGACGATCAAGTGCCCTTCGTTCCGACACGCCATGTGGTGGGGGAAGTCCCTGCAGCAGTTTGCGGAGACGCACGGCAAGGACTACATGCAGCCCAACCGATTCGAAGCGTTCGCTCCGGTCAGGGAGAAAACGCTCGCTAGATGGTGAGGACCGGCCGGCGCCGGGCGGCGACGCTTGCGGCGTCCGGACCGTTGTGGAGGGCGGTCGGCTTTCAAGCAACTCCTCGGCATCTCCCGGGCCTAGGCTGCGTGCTCTCTCGGTGCTCGGTGCTTTTGTTCGCGTGGAAACCGCAAAGCCGTGGAACCCCGCGCCACTTGAAATCGGGCAATCGGAGTCGGTGGATGTATTCAAGTCCGCTTTGAAAACCCCGTCTCTCTGGAGCGGCCTTGCCTCTCTAGTTTGGTCGGTTGCCCCCCCCTGCTTTTGTTTTTATTTCACTGCTTTTCATGCACTGCGCATTGGGATCCTAGGATGGAATGCGCTTTATACATTTTAATTATAATTATATTATTAATATTAACGGGGAAGGGCGGAGGAGCGACGCTCGCAACGACGAGTGGAGCGCCGCGCCGCTAACCACTCGGCGAGTGGGGAGCAGTCAACCCACGATGCCAGTCGGTGTCCTGAGGCCTGCTGCCAGCGAGCTTGCGACCCTTCCCGTGATGGCCTCATGAGTGCCCCTAGCCTGTGTGTGGCCATGGTTGTGTGTATGGTGTGCATGTGAGTCCGTGTGTATATTGGTTGGGCGAGGAGTTGGCGCACTGCGCTACGAACCCGGCGACCCGAGTTCAGTTCCCGGTCACTACCAATAACAGGGGGCGAATATTTCAACTGGTCTTGGGCCTCTCCTTGGTCTACTCGGCTTCAAATGAGTGCCTGGTGCGGTGTGTAAACATCGCCGCTGGGGAGACAAAGGCGGCCGGGCGTGGAGCTGGGCACCCACCCCCTCGTGTGCCGTGCCGGCCTGCATAGGCGTCAACTAAAAGCTCTCGCCCCAACAGTCTGGTTAGGCCGTGTACGGTGGGTGATCTTTGCCTTTTGTAGGTTCGTGAACTCTTCTGGGTATTTCACGGAGATGGCTTACGCCCTGGAGGAGGCCAAGGAGGAGATCTTCATCACTGACTGGTGGTGAGTGTCTCTGCGGTTCCCCCCCGGTCCCACCGCCCTGCCCCACCACCCAACCCCCCCAACCTGACCCTCCGACCGGCACACCACCTGGACACGGGTGGTGGCAAACGCCGCAATCGCGCGAAGGGTAAAGGCGCAGCCCCTGCAATTGCTCGCTCCAGCAACTGCCCTATGACAAAGGGCCTCCACTCTGTGCGAGCTCACGAGAGCCCCGCTAGGGCGGTCTATGTATTTGGCCTTCTCTTCCACGCCGGTCAGGCATCTGGCAAAACGTGGGAGTTACCCACACTTTACCCCACAATGCACGACCCACCGATCATAGACGGAACTTGCGGCGTGCCAATTTACACTCCCAATTGACACTCCCAATTTACACTCCCAATTGACACTCCCAATTTACACTCCCAATTTACACTCCCAATTGACACTCCCAATCTACGCTGCCAACTGACATTGTCTAAACGCTCGATTCATGGAGGTGGCCAAACCCATCCCCACCGTAGGACCACAGAGCTTGGACAATTGTTTTGGACACTTCTGGCCACCGCCCTCCTTGCCTGCCCTACCCCCCCATGAGTCTGGAATCATAGGAAAAACACAGCTCTGTGTTATTGGCTCGCGGTCTGGATGCAGTCTGTTAAATTCAACGGGGACCTCCCTCCGACTCTGATTTCCTACAAATATAATTATCTGGACTCCTTCTTTACTGAAACAAACAAAATATTAGTTATTTCTCACTACGATTCCAGACTTGTGGGCCGCCCTGTACACGTGTATCAAACCGCTAAATTGGTGAACACGCGGTGGGTTGCGTGTCACCTAACGGTGACGCCACCTGGGTCTGCCCCCGCCCCCCCCCCCCGTGCATCGTTCCAGGCTAAGTCCCGAGATATTCCTGAAGAGGCCGCCAGTGGAGGGAAACTACTGGAGGCTCGACTCCGTGCTGAAGAGGAAAGCCGTGAGTGTCGTCGGATGGCAACGTTGATAGACGCCGTCCCTACGCGGTTCCCACGATTCGTGATGTATCTCTTCGGGGGGGGGGGGGGGGGGTTAAGCCACTGCGGAAGGATCTGGACAAATGTGTCTGTTGTAAGAACCCTCCACCGCCCAACGTGGCCAACCAAATTGAGCTGCCACGCAGCGCACAAGCGTTTTGACGACGCTCCCGGTAACTACCGCTCGAGCTCAACTCACCGTTGACGTTGTGGAACAATATTCACGCTTTGCTTCTCTGAGAATTGGGGTTGTGAGCCCGTGAGTCTCCGGGTCCTCCCCTCCCCCCCCCCCCCCCCCCCCGTGCAAGCGCACGCGTCGCTACACAAATCCGTGGGTCAATCGGTCTCCGCCCGGATCGGTGTTGAATCTCGCGATGAGCCCATCGAGTCGCTGCGCTTGACGGCCCGGCGCATTTGCCGGGGGTAGCCGCGCGGCTTGACCCCGGATTCGAGCCCAGGATGTCGGCAGCGGCGGTGGCGGTTCCTGACGTCTGTCTGACGTCCGAACTGCGCGGCCCGCTCCTCACGCATGCTCAACGCCGGTCCGTGTGGCGCAGGAGGCCGGCGTCAGGGTCTTTGTGCTGCTCTACAAGGAGGTGGGCTTGGCTCTTGGACTTAACAGCGACTACAGCAAACAGACGCTCATGGGACTCCACCCCAACATTAAGGCAAGGCCTCTCCACCCACCCCGCACGCTCGCTCGCTCGCTCGCTCGCCCGCTCCTGCTGATCGCGTCACGGCTTTCGTCGTGAAGTCCTCTCTGCCTTCGGTGGCCGCGCGAGTGTTGGTGCACCGTGAACGCTCACCGGGGAAGCAGCAGTGGAGGCGCTAATGGTGCTTGTTGCTCACTCATGTCGACGACGATGATGATGATGATGACGGTGATGACGATGGTGTCCGTGTCGACGTCTACGATGGCAATGACTGTGACGACGACGACGACGATCGTCGCGCCAACGAATGACGATCGCCAATATCGACGACGCCACCGCTACCTCCACGTCCGCCCTGCTCTCCGTCATCGCCCCCCACCCCCCCCCCCCCCCACCTCTCTCTCGCCCTCTTCCGTGCGTGCAGGTGCTGCGCCACCCCGACCACGTGTCCTCCACGGTGCTGTTCTGGGCCCACCACGAGAAGCTGGTCATCATCGACCAGACCGTGGCCTTCCTGGGCGGCATCGACCTGGCGTACGGCCGCTGGGACGACTACCAGCACCGGCTCACCGACATCGGCAGCGTGCAGCGCACCAATGTGCCCGCGACGGACAGCCCCTCACGCCAGCCGAAGGTGCGCCGGATCCGTCGTCCTTGTCGTCGTCATTGTCATCGTCGTCATCGTTGTCATCGTCATTGTCGTCCTTGTCGTCATTGTCATCGTCGTCATTGTCATCGTCGTCATTGTCATCGTCGTCATTGTCATCGTCGTCATTGTCGTCCTTGTCGTCATTGTCATCGTCGTCGTCGTCATTGTCATCGTCGTCATTGTCATCGTCGTCATTGTCATCGTCGTCATTGTCATCGTCGTCATTGTCATCGTCATTGTCGTCCTTGTCGTCATTGTCGTCCTTGTCGTCATTGTCATCGTCGTCATTGTCATCGTCGTCGTCGTCATTGTCATCGTCGTCATTGTCATCGTCGTCATTGTCATCGTCATTGTCGTCCTTGTCGTCATTGTCATCGTCGTCATTGTCATCGTCGTCATTGTCATCGTCATTGTCGTCCTTGTCGTCATTGTCATCGTCGTCATTGTCATCGTCGTCATTGTCATCGTCGTCATTGTCATCGTCATTGTCGTCCTTGTCGTCATTGTCATCGTCGTCATTGTCCTTGTCGTCATTGTCATCGTCGTCATTGTCATCGTCGTCATCGTCATTGTCGTCCTTGTCATCGTCGTCATTGTCATCGTCATTGTCGTCCTTGTCGTCATTGTCATCGTCGTCGTCGTCATTGTCGTCATTGTCGTCATTGTCATCGTCGTCATTGTCATCGTCGTCATTGTCATCGTCGTCATCGTCATTGTCGTCCTTGTCATCGTCGTCATTGTCATCGTCATTGTCGTCCTTGTCGTCATTGTCATCGTCGTCGTCGTCATTGTCATCGTCGTCATTGTCATCGTCGTCATTGTCATCGTCATTGTCGTCCTTGTCGTCATTGTCATCGTCGTCATTGTCCTTGTCGTCATTGTCCTTGTCGTCATTGTCATCGTCGTCATTGTCATCGTCGTCATTGTCATCGTCATTGTCGTCCTTGTCGTCATTGTCATCGTCGTCGTCGTCATTGTCGTCATTGTCGTCATTGTCATCGTCGTCATTGTCATCGTCGTCATTGTCATCGTCGTCATTATCATCGTCATTGTCGTCCTTGTCGTCATTGTCATCGTCGTCGTCGTCATTGTCGTCATTGTCATCGTCGTCATCGTCGTCGTCGTCATTGTCGTCATTGTCGTCATTGTCATCGTCGTCATTGTCATCGTCATTGTCGTCCTTGTCGTCATTGTCATCGTCGTCATTGTCCTTGTCGTCATTGTCATCGTCGTCATTGTCATCGTCGTCATTGTCATCGTCGTCATTGTCATCGTCGTCATTGTCATCGTCATTGTCGTCCTTGTCGTCATTGTCATCGTCGTCGTCGTCATTGTCGTCATTGTCGTCATTGTCATCGTCGTCATTGTCATCGTCGTCATTGTCATCGTCATTGTCGTCCTTGTCGTCATTGTCATCGTCGTCATCGTCGTCATTGTCATCGTCGTCGTCGTCATTGTCGTCCTTGTCATCGTCGTCCTTGTCATCGTCGTCATTGTCATCGTCGTCATTGTCGTCATTGTCATCGTCGTCATTGTCATCGTTGTCATTGTCGTCCTTGTCGTCATTGTCATCGTCATCGTCGTCATTGTCATCGTCGTCATTGTCATCGTCGTCATTGTCATCGTCGTCATTGTCATCGTCGTCATTGTCATCGTCATTGTCGTCCTTGTCGTCATTGTCGTCATTGTCATCGTCGTCATTGTCATCGTCGTCATTGTCATCGTCGTCATTGTCATCGTCGTCATTGTCATCGTCATTGTCGTCCTTGTCGTCATTGTCATCGTCGTCATCGTCGTCATTGTCATTGTCGTCGTCGTCATTGTCATCGTCGTCGTCGTCATTGTCGTCCTTGTCATCGTCGTCATTGTCATCGTCGTCATTGTCATCGTCATTGTCGTCCTTGTCGTCATTGTCATCGTCGTCATTGTCATCGTCATCATTGTCATCGTCGTCGTCGTCATTGTCGTCATTGTCGTCATTGTCATCGTCGTCATTGTCATCGTCGTCATCGTCATTGTCATCGTCGTCATCGTCGTCATTGTCATCATCGTCATCATCGTTGTCGTCATCGTCGTTATCATAGTCGTCGTCGTCATTGTCATCGTCGTCATTGTCATCATTGTCGTCATTGTCATCGTCATCATTATCGTCGTCATTGTTATCATCGTCGTCGTCATTGTCGTCGTCTTCATCATAGTCCTCGTCGTCGTTGCCGTCGTCGCCGTCGTCATCACCGTTGCTTGATAATCATGCCGTGCCTCCCAGTGCGGTGCGCCTCGATGCGCCCTGGGCTTGTGGCAGGGTGGGGGGGGGGCGGTCCCCCCGCCGGCAGCTCTCCCTGTGCGGCTCAAGGCGAAGGCAACGCCGGCCTATAGAGTGGCCGTTAATCTGTCGGCGGTGGGGGGGGGGGGGTGCGCTGTTGCGACCTGTGCTCTTACCCGGTTAGATAAATCACGAGCGGTCTCATTGGCCGCTCACGGTTCAATTCCATCTTCCGGCGCGGCGGTTGAAACGATTGGGGGGCGGGGGGGGGGGAGTGGGTTTCTTGAACCTGCCTCCTCTGTCCGTCCGGCAGTACGATTGGGCCCACGGCAAGTTAGCCAGTCCGCAGGTCGTGTGTGGTGTGGTAGAGCGTGGCAATTCCCACCGCTCCTAAGAGCTGTGACCGGTGCGGATGAGTAGGCCAAATACCGGTGGGGACGGCGTGTGGACGCGGTCGCAGGTCACCGTCCATTACCGCACATCCGATCACCACGGTTGGCTACGTACGGTGCAAAAAAAGTTCAACTTACACGCACACACACATAGACTCGCACAGAGACCTACAGTTTGTTGTCCTTTGCCCACACCTCCAATCAGCACGGTTGGCTACGTACGGCGTGAGACAAGTTCAACGTACACGCACACGCACGCACGTACACACTTCGACCGCGGAGGTTGAGGCCGATGAAACTGACGCCAGTGCCGGTGTCGCCGCCAGGCCGAGGAGGCCAACGGGAAGAGCAACCCGGGCCTGACGGTGGAGCAGCAGCAGCAGCCGGAGGAGGAGGAGGAGGAGGCTTCTCCGGACGTCGTCGACTCCGCGGCCGCCCCGCAGGAGGCCGACGCCTCCGGCCTACGCGAGTCCTCCACCGACGCGGAGAGGCCGGTGGGCTCGGCGGAGGCGGCCGCAGAGGCGGCCACGAGGCCCGGCATGGCCGGCTGGAAGCGGGCGATGCAGGCGATGAAAACGGCGTCGGCGGAGAGCGGGAGGGAGGAGCAGAGGTACCGGGCAACGCGGCGGCGCACGGACAGCATGGACGAGGAGGACGCGGAGGCAGCGCGGCAGAACAGCAACGACGTCATGGACGGCATCGTGCACCGTGAGAGACGTCGCGCCGCACACCGGAATCCGATGAGCTATAAAGCTCTTTGTTGACAGATGTCCAGTAAGGGGTACGGGGTAAGAACGTTACAACAACAAACAATTACAAAAACACGATAGGAGTGCAAAGTACAAGAAGGGTAAATAAATCGCCCAAACACAAACAAATTCAACACTAAACCATCCCAATCCAACCAAACTAAGCCCGCTGGGGCATTCACTCTTGGGCAGTGGCTGGGGGGCCGTTGCCAACAAAGTGCAAAGTGTCCGAAAGGTAAAAACATCACTTAAACATTTATACACAAATAAAACTCAACATTTTTTTTGTATCTTACCAGGTAAGGCCCACTGGGCTCTTAGCTTATTTTTCCGAAGCGACCTGGCCACAAATGATAGCTCGACAAAGCGGCCTATCATCACGTGGACATTTATAGGAGCCACATAATCTGAATAATATAGACGCACGTTTCTAAATGTGGAGGGGGAAAACCGGAGGACCCCGATCACGTGGAGAGAATGAGAGAGGCACGCAAACTCCAAATGTACAACACTCGTAAAGATGAGCCGGCGTGGATGAAACTTTTGAGGGTCAAGCTGCATTGTGGTTAGTGACTCACCACCGAGAGAGGAAACCGGGAAAATTGGGCCAAGGGGTTGGTGCCCAGAATTTGGCGATTTTAAAAATAAATCTCACCCCCCCACCTCGCCCCCCCCCCCCCCCTTGCCGGAACACGGCCGTCATCGTTTTCGTCATCATCATCGTCATCGTCTTCCGACCGCCGCATTCAATCTGCACCGACATTTCGGAGACGCTTAGAGGCCCCGTCACCTTCTTTAAAAGCCCCACGACCTCTCGCCTAGTTTCTAAGCGCGCCTTATTGCGCGCACTACAAACTGCGTCGTTATCATCATTGTTGTTGTTATTCTTGGTTCTTTCGGTACAGTCACGTGGAAGGGAAACAATAAAATAATAAAAATAGAAAACAATAAAATTCTACGTGACTTTACCGAAAGAAACAAGAATATGAATCCCTGCAGTCACGAAAGCTTTACATCAAAATTGTTGTTGTTGTTGACACAAGCTTAATCGGCCAAGGCGAATGACACCGCGCCGCTGTGTCCGCCGCGCAGGCTGGAGGAGCATGCTGAAGCAGCGGTGGCTCGACAAGCCCAAGTACCCTCTGCGCACGCACAAGATGCACATCCGTGAGGGTGAGTGCCGCACCCCCCCCACCCCCCGCCTCCCCCGCCCCACCTTCTCACCCCCACTCGGCACGGCGGCGCGGCTGCCGTCGCCGAGGTTGCCGGGCGATGGCCGACGTCGCGACGGTCACAACGCCGGCGTCGACCTTCCACGAGGCCCTCCGGCAAACGCTGCGGAACGCGCACGCTTGTGCACGCACTGTTGTACGCGCGTTGAACGTCTTTCGCGCACCGTACGTAGCCAACGGCGCTCATTGGAGGCGCGTGTCCCGGCGTGCGGCGTAGACTACGGCTCGACGAGGAGGACGAGCGTGGAGCTGTTTGGCGAAGCGCGCTTCTGGCACGGCAAGGACTACTGCAACTTCGTGCTCAAGGACTGGGTGCAGCTGGAGAAGCCCTTCGATGGTGAGGCCCCACCCCCCCCTCCACCTTGGCCACCCCCGCGTGGCGGTGACGCAAGAAGGGCCCTGTGTTCCATCTCCCCCCCCCCCCCCCCCCGTACTGCACTGGTTCCCTCCGGGTTTTTGCCGGTTTCCTCCCGTAGCTGAATAAAAAAACATTCTATATATATAATTGGTGTTGGCCAAACATCCCAATGCAGGACCCTCCTCAAAAAGAGTCTTCGGACTCGATGCGGCATTCCTAGCTGAATTAGTAATTGTTATTGAGGGGCCTTAGCCTCCATTGTCGGACGAGGGATGTGTCTTGGCGTTCTTGTTTTGCGTGTGTGTGTGTGGGTTGAACTTCTTTCTCACCGTACATAGCCGACCGTCTTAATCGTAGGTATGTTATGTTAGGCTCGGTGGGGGGGGGGGGGGGGGGGGAGGTTCCGTGACTGGACGTGGCGTGCCGGTTGCGGAAGTATTTTCCTGGGAGGAGGAGGCAAGGTGTGATGAGTGGCCGCGAGCCGCTAGGGGAAGGGCCATGGCCTCGCCCGCTCTCGCCGAAACTAAAACCGCGGTCGGCGTTGTTCCCCGCCCGGCACAGACTTCATCGACCGCTACACGACGCCACGCATGCCGTGGCACGACATCGGCGCCGTGGTGCACGGCCACGCGGCCCGGGACGTTGCGAGACACTTCATCCAGCGGTGGAACTTCGCCATGGTGAGTGGCGACGGTGGTGGTGGCGGCGATGGTGGCGGCGGTGGTGATGGTGGTGGCGGTGGTGATGGTGGTGGTCGTGGTGGTGGTGTGGTGGTGGTAGTGGTGGTGATGGTGGCGGCAGTGGTGGTGATGGTGGTGGTCGTGGTGGTGGTTAGAAACATTTAGGCTAGCCTGCCTACGTTCCATCCTGGGTTTAACCAGGCTGGATTGTGTGAGGAGCTCACAAATCCTCGAAAGATCTGGGCAAGGTCCCATCGGTGACCTCCTCCGGCAGGCAAGGCTGCGTTGGCTGGGTCATGTAGCCCGCATGCCTAGCCACCGCATGCCGAAACAGCTTTTGTTCGGCCGGATCGAGGGGGCTAAACGGGTGCGGCACGGGCTAGAGAAGAGATGGAGTGATGTGGTACAGGAGGACGTGGAGCTGAGTGGACTTAACGATGATTGGTACCAGTGGTGTCAAGATCGGCCTTTGTGGAGGAGGCTCGTGAAGGACGCTACTGGGCAGTTGGAGGCAGTCGCCCTCCAACAACAACGGAAGGCGGTGGAACGACGCTCACAACAATGAGCGGAGCGCCGGGTGGCTAAAGCACAGCAAGTTGGCACAGTAGGGGGCACAGGTGGTGCATCAGTCAGTCATCTCAGTCATCTCAGTCAGTCGACCCGTGGCACCTGGGTCTGCCCCGTGACCTCCTGCCAGCGGGCGTTCGACACTTCACGTGGCCTCAAGGTGCACATGGCCTGGCACAAGCGTCGTGGTGACGTCACCGCCACTTAGTGACGAATGGCGGTTGTTGTTGTTGGTGGTGGTGGTAGTGATAGCGACCGGACGTCTGCGCGAGTTCGTCAGCGATAGATTCGCTCACTAAACAAGAAACGAGCAACGCCAAAAACGGGCGAGTCGATTGCCACGGAGCTTCCTGTCGTGCGACGTTTCGTGGCACTGCCGATTCGCGGTCACTCTCTTAACCACCACCGCCGCCGCCACCACCGCCACCAACACCGTCTAGCCATCGCTGCCAAGCACATTCTGTCTGGTTGCCTGCTCACGTGGCTACCGCGCACCGACGGTAAAACCGGCTGGACCGTTACCCCGTCGTGCAACTCCCTTTCTCTCTCTCTCTTCCATCACTCCCTCTCTCCGTGGAGTCCAACCTGTGAGTGACGATGGCAAGGCCCCCGTCGCAACACAAAGAGAGAGCGTGGGGTCTCAACAGCCGCGGGTTTCATTCGGCGCAAAGATCGAGGCCCCCACCCCCCCCCCCCCCCCCCCCGGGCGTCGTGCGGTCATCCCTCTCTCTTTCTCTCTCCATCCATCAACGACGCGGTGGTGTTCGAAGGCCTTTGGCGAAGCTTTCACCCAGGCAGTGAATCGACGGGTCTCTTGCTTGCGAGCGGCACGCGCGTCGTTTGCTTGCGACGACGTGGGACCCCGTCTCTCACCGTCTCCCGCCCCCGTGCAGACGGTCAAGAAGAAAAAGTCCATCGAGCACTTCCCCATGCTGCTGCCCAAGTCGCTCTCCATGGCCGACCGCATTCCCTACGTCGTCACGGGCTGCGTCCCTGCCAACGTGCAGGTGCGGTCGCACCCTCCCCTCCACGCCACTCCCTGGGCCCTCCTCGTCCCTCTCCATCGCTCCCTGGCCCCCCTTCCCTGAGCCCTCCCTGAGCCCTCCCTACCCCTCCCCCATCCCTCCCTACCCCTCCCCATCCATCCCCGCCCCTCCCACTCTGCGTCGGTGGAACCTCGTGATGGGGGTGGGCTAGGGGGAGGGGTCCGCGTGTCCCCCGTTGAGCCTCCTCCTAGCCACGGGGTGTCTCTGCGGCCGGGCGCACCGCGGGGGTTCACCGGACGATGCTGCGCGTGCCGCCCAGGTGCTGAGGTCGGCCTCCGATTGGTCGGTGGGAATCAAGAAGCACGAGGAGTCCATTCACAAGGCGTACGTGGAGGCCATCCGCACGAGCCGCCACTACATCTACATCGAGGTGCGGCTCTCTGCCCCCACCCCCCACCCCCCGCCCAGGGTGTAGGCGGCTGCAACGGCCGGTCGGCAGAGACAGAAGTCGCCACTCCCCGTGGCGATCGGGGAGAAATGCGTGGAGCCGGTGGGAGGGAGGTTTTCTGCATTGGGGTGAAGTGTGCGGGGATACGCGCCCACCTCTCCCCGCACGTCTTGCCGGCGCGGAAGAGTAGGCCAAAATCCCCTCGAGCGAGGCTCTCTAGACGGCCCCTGCCGCCAGCAGTTGCACGGCTGCGCCTTTGCCTGATTTTCTGATTCTCCTCCGTGGCCCCGCACACAGAACCAGTTCTTCATCAGCTGCACGGACAACCGCATCGTGTGGAACGGCATCGGAGACGCCATCGTCAACAAAATCCTGGAGGCTCACAGGTCACTGACCCCTCTCGGTGATGGTGATGGAGGTTGATGATGTTGATGTGGATGGTGGAGGTGGTGGCGATGTTACTGTGGACGGTGCAGGTGATGGTGATGTTGATGTGGATGATGACGGTGAGATATGGTGATGTTGGTGATGTTGGTGATGTGGATGTTCGAGGTGGGTGATGATATCGATGTGGAGGGTGGATGTTGACGTTGATGGTAGATTTTGGGCGCCACGGTAACGAGATGTTAACTACCTCGCCTGGTACACAGGAGGTCATGGGTTCGATCTCGACCCCCGACGCCTGCTGCTGTGTGTTTGGAGTTTGCGTGTGTCGCTCTCTGCCCGTGGTCGTGAGATTTTTCCTCCGGGTCCTCCGGTTTTTCCCCTCCACATTTAAAGTCAACGTCGTGCGTTTCGTGTATTTGGCTACGTCGTTACATTTCCCAAGCGTTGGGTCGCTTCGTGGAGCTATCATTTGCGATGGACGGGTCGCTCCTGAAAAAGAGCTACGCAGCTCAGCGGGCCCTCACCTGGTAAAATAGTAGTTTCTTTATTTATTTTTAAGATGACCCCGGTGGATGTGACCACCGCAGAGTCCCAGCACCACCACCACCACCGAGCCCTCTCGGCGCCACCACGGCCGACGGCGCCGCTGGCGTCCTCCTCGCTCAAGCCGACTCTCCGTGCGTGCGTGCGTGCGTGCGCAGGGATGGCCGGCGCTTCCGCGTCTACGTGGTGGTGCCGCTGCTGCCCGGGTTCGAGGGCGACATCTCGACGGGCGGGGGCAGCGCCATCCAGGCCGTGCTGCACTTCAACTACAGGTCAGGTGGGGTGGGGGGGGGGGGGGGGGGGCGGGGCGGGGCGGGGTGGGGGGGGCGGGGAGTACGGGCGACCGTCGATAAAGACCGGAGCCGAAACCGTGCCGCGCCGTTCCTGTAACGGTCTGAAGCCCCCGTGGCCCCTGCTGGACATCGGTGACAAAGAGCTACGCGGATCGTCGGATTCCTCCGCCAGTATAAATGTGCTTTGGTGGCTTGCCTCTTGGCTCCCAAGCAGGGCACGAGCGCCACCTGACGGAGCGATGGGGCTCGTCCTTTCGCTACGATCACTTTTCAGGCGTTGTTTGCGCTCCTTGATTCGGTGCCCTATCTTGATTGGTTTATTCGGTGCTTTTGAATTTGCTCGGTAGAAGCGGTAGTAGTAGCAGTAGGGGTTTTCATTTGCTTGGTGTGTATGTGTGTGCGCGCGTGTGTGTGTGGGGGGCTTGTTTCACACCGTACAAAGCCAACCGTGTGTATTGGTTTGGTCCTTGTGTATGGGGACTCCTCTACTTACGAACGAGTTAGGTTCCAGAGGTCTGTTCGTAAATCGATTCCAAACATGTTGTACGGCGTGTACACTAAATACGGGGAATGGCTTTAAAAGTTATATAATCTACTGTAGATGTAGATGCCACTGGTTCTTCACGTTCTGTAGATGTCATCACCGCTGCAGTTGAACTTACGGACAGGTTTGTTCATGTCTCTGAAAGTCGAAATGTTCGTAAGTAGAGGAGTCCTGTATAAGCAATTTACACCGCTCTTGGGATGCTGTTGGCATGAATCACGCCACTATATAAAATTCAAGTGTTGTTGTCATTTGCATCGTGATTGGTCGGCGGGCATTTTCACGACTGTCGCAGAGCCAGACCCGAGGAGTGCTTGGCTAGTTCCCCCTGGTGAGCGTAGCAGCCACTAGCGGCTGCGGGGTCACGTGGGGAAACCTCTTTTGACGTGCAACGGCGTACGAATGTGAAACGGCGATCCGCTCGCTGAGCGCGTCGGCGCTTCCCCCTCTTCCGTGACTTGCGACCAGCGTGGAGGAGTAGGCCAAAAACACCCTCCCAAGGTGGTCTTCCTCTCTCTAGCTCCCTCTGGCGGAGGGAGCTAGAGAGAGGAAGCAGCGGCAGAAGCGGGGAATTGCGGGGCTGCGCCTCTAACCCGTTGATTTGGCGACTGAAGAGAGGGTGCTGACCAGGGCCCTCCTGCATTTTCTTGCTTCTCAGGACGCTGTGCAGAGGAAAGTACTCCATCATCGAGCGGCTGAAGGTGGACAGTAAGTGGCACCCACTGCTCACTCGCTCGCTCACCATCGTCGGCCATGGTGAATCCACTGCTGGATGAAGGCGTCACCAAACCGCCGCCACCACCACCACCACCACCGCCACCTCTCTCACGATCCTGCAATGTGTGCTGCCCAAGGCCCACTCAGCTCATTGAACCGTTTAACTGCCTTTTGTGAATGCATAATGGACTAAAGAGAGCTGCTTTGGTATTCACGCCAACTCTTAGAGCACAAAGGCTCTAAGAGTTGGCGTCATCCGGTCATTAACCACTCGCAGCTCTTTGGGCGATGTGTGCGACCTTTCCAAACCTCAACCCGGCAACGCCGCCGCGTGGCTGCGCGTCCCCACGGGCGTACCGGGCACCCACGCCCCCCCTCCCCCCTCCCGGGCCCTGCTTGGCCCCGAGCAGCACGGTTTGGGCGGGGGCGGGGGGGGTGGTAAACCCAACCCTGACCCCACGCGCCTTCCCGGCACGGGCGGCGTGACGGGACGGCACGGGTCCCCCCCCGACCGTCAGCGTGGGCGGCACGGGGGAGGGCAGTAGGGGGGAAGAGCCGTGAGCCGTGAGCGTAACGAGCGTGGCCGCAGGGGGTGCATTGACCGACCCCCTCCCCCCCCCCCCCTATGGCCAAAGCTACCAGTTGTGGGGGGGGGGGGGCCCTTTGATAATCACTGTGAGATTTGTTTTCAACGAACGGTGTCAAAGAACAAACGCGGTTTTACATTTATTTTTCTGATAACGTTTTCATTTACGTTCCCACGTTTCATTTAAGTTTAATTAGAGAGCGGTAACTTCATATTGCAAAGAGGGTAACTACCACTGCTAATACGGCGCTGCAGTGGCTGCATTTTGCGCCCACCCCCCCCCCCCCCCATACGGCGTCAAAACATTCGAGACGGTGACCGTGACGACGATGCGATCTGGCAAGAGAAGGAGCCGCGATGGATAATCGCCCCTAGGGTGCGACCGTGCGAAGGGACTAATCAAACATTGTGGTGGAGGGGGGGCCCCACAAGACCGATCGCCCCCCACCCTGAGTTGTCAATGTCGTTCCTACGCCACGGGTGCAGTGGGAGAAGCTTCGTCTCTGCGTGTGTGCGTGTGTGCGTGTGTGTGGCGGCTACGCGCAGTGGGCAACTCGTGGATGAACTACATCTCGGTGTGCGGCCTGCGCACGCACGCCGAGCTGGCCGGGACGCTCGTCACGGAGCTCATCTACGTGCACAGCAAGCTCATGATCGTCGACGACCGCACCGTCATCATCGGTGAGCGCCTCCGGTTTTGCGCGGTTGACTACGTAGGGCGCAAGAGAAGTTCGACACACACGGTTAGCACGGTTGGCTATGTACGGTGCGTAGCTCTCTTTCCGTCTGTCCGTCCGTTTTTCCGTTCAGCTGTCTGTCCGAGAGTAAATGCTGCACCCCTTCGTCCAGATAACAGACAATCAGCTGTCCATTCATAAATTTAATTATTCGCTTTTCCCTACTTCTCCCCTGTTAATGAAGTAATCCGTCTACGTATCAATCCATTAATGAATTCCTCCATCCATTCATAAACGAAGTCATTCATCTCTCCATACTTTTTCCCATTTATAACATCCGTTTATCCAACTATCCATTAATGAATTCCTCCAAACATAAATAAAGTTTTTCATCTAGCCCTACTTTTTTTACATTAATAAAATAATACATCTAATCATCATCTATCTATCCATTCATTCAGAAACTCCTCCACCTATTGATGCATTAAGTTATTAATCTATATACTTTTTTCATTCATAAAATCCATCTGTCCATTTATGTATCAATCCATAAATGCATCAATCAGTTCATAAAAAAATTAATTAGCCTCTTCGTAAATTCATCCACTCTCTTTTATTCCAATCATTACACCCATCCATCTATTCAACATTTAGTTAATTCATCCATTCATCGTTTAATTAATTTACTATTTAATCCACCCATCACTTAATTAAATCATTGCTTATTGAATTAATCGATTTATCAATTCAAAAATCCATCCGTCGTTCAACCATTCATCTGCCCATCCATGCATTCACTAGGTCACAGGTGGTACTCACTAACAACACTTGCCCCAACAGTCTGTTGTTAAAAGATCTGCGGTGGGGGGGGGGGGGGTGGTCCTTGCTTTGATGACCCAAAACCTCCACCCCCCCCCCGCCCGCCCTTCCATTCAAATAGGAATTGCCTCGTTCGACCGATCACTGTTAAACGCGTCCCACGTGCTGTCTGCGTTAATGCAGCCGATTCCAATTAAGATTGAGATCTCGGTGTAGATATGTGGGTGCGTGCACCTAGTCTGTATGTGTGTACGCATGTACACGTGTTCCGTGCGTGCGTGTTTACGCGTGTGCACGTGTTCCATGTGTGTTTATGCGCGTGCTCGTGTTATGCCCGTGTACGTGTTATGCGTGTGCACGTGTTATGCGAGTGCACGTTTTTCGCGCGTGCGTACGCATGTACCCGTGTGCGCTCGTGTGCACACACGTGTTAAAAAGCTCTCTCCTGAAGGGTCGGCAAACATCAACGATCGCAGCATGCTGGGCAAGCGCGACAGCGAGATGGCGGTGATGGTGGAGGACACGGAATTCCAGGAGTCGGTCATGGACGGGCAGCCCTACCAAGCCGGCCGCTTCGCCTACAACCTGCGCAACTGCTGCTTCCGGTAAGGGGCGACGCCGCTCACGGCGAGCTGTCCCCGCAGAGGCCATTGACAAAACGACGCCGGCGTCACCACGCGTCTCTCATGTTGGCATCGCGGCCGTCCCTCCGTTCACTCCCCAGTGGCGGAGACGTGGGAGAGAGACGGCCGCGTTGGTGCCGCAGCGCGGCACGCGGTGGTGCCTCCCAGGTGGCGGTGATGGCGGTGATGGCGGTGGCGGCGGGGGCGGTGATGGCGGTGATGGCGGTGATGGCGGTGATGGCGGTGGCGGCGGGGGCCCATTGAATATTAAAGACGAACGGCGATGACGATCGCGAGCGCGCGCATTGCGCCGGTGCGGTGTTACGAACGAACGGCCACTGTGACCGGGTCGGCTCCTTGTCTCCTTAGGGGAGGGAGGGTGGGGTAGTAATTGGCAACAATTCATCTTCCCCGGCGATTCGATGAGTTGTCGTGGTGCGCAGGAACTATTGTTTTTTTTTTTTTTTTGGGTTCGTGCAGCGGCCACTAGGGGCTGCAGGGGTCACGTTAGAGAAGAATTCTGAATCGTCAGAAATTTAATATCTGTCACTTTTTTATCTTGATTGGGAGCACGTCTCTGGTATGTAATATTTTTAATACCTCTTCTTTTGACATATCTAATATAATGAATGAGAAACTAACATAATTTATGTGAATATATTCAACTCTAGGTATCACTTCCACTCCTTGTGGGTGCACAATGATGGCATCCCGCCACCTATTTAAAGCCCAAGTGTGGGGGACATTTTCACAATTCTGGCAACTGCCTGATGCTGTCGGTTGTAACTGCCAGCGAAACGCCCGCGCTCCAAATCGCTAACGGTGTGCGGAACGCTCCTCTCGATCATCGCGCCGATGCCGCCGCTGCTGCTGCTGCCGCTACCGCCGCCAAAGCGGGAACAAAGTGGTCGCGTCTGTTTGTCACGTGACAACTCTAGTGATCGGCCACGTCGGGTGGAGGAGGGTGCACGACACACTTGTTTCACTTCGCGCGATCTATCGTTGATACCGTCCGCGTCACGCCATTATTTTGCAAAAGAGCTTCATGGCTCATAGGATTTCTCCGGGATAAATAAAGATTCTTATTCTGTAATCGTGCGACACTCTCCGCAGGTTGGTGCTGGGCCTCTTGGACAGTCCCCACGTGGACATCTCGGACCCCATCACCGACCACTTCTACAAGGAGGTTTGGATGAGCACCGCCGCCATCAACGCCACCGTCTACGAGAAGGTGAGCGGAGGGCCTGCGGAGTAGGACCCACGGATGTTGTACCCCTCCCACGTACAAATTGACTGGTTCGACGCCACACGCGCCCAGTGACCGTTAAATGCGTCCCACGTGCAGTCTGCGTTAACGCAGCCAATTCCAGTGTACGTGTGCGCGCACGCCTGTTCCGTGGGCGCGTGTACGCCTGTACGCGTGTGTGCGTGTACACGTATTGCGTGCGTGAATTTTCCGTGTTCTGCGTGTGTGAAGTGGAACGCGTTCAACAGTAAGTGGGCACGGCACGTCGCGGCGTGGAAGGGGATTGTTTTGTACTCCAATGGAGAGGAGTAAATCGGCAAACGGGGAAAGACGGAGAGTGGCGGTGGGGCGTCGCGTGGACCGGAGTGTGGGGGAGGCCTGCATTGAGGGGTCCCCTGGCCGTCGTTTGGAACATGCAAGGCCCATCGCTTGCACACACACGCCAACACACACGCCAACACACACGCCGGCACGCACGCCAGCACACGCCAACACACGCTAACACACGCCAGTACACACGCCAACACACACGCCAGCACACGCTAACACACGGCAACACACACGCCGGCCAACACACACGCCAACACACGCTAACACACGTCGGCCAACACACGCTAACACACACGCCGGCCAACACACACGCCAGCACACACGCTAACACACACGCCAACACGCCAACACGCACGCCAACACACATGCCAACACACACGCCAACACGCCAACACGCACGCCAACACGCACGCCAACACGCTTCCGGATTTGCCAAGTAATACAATTTTAGTAATACTGGTAGGAACGAAGTTGTAAACTGAGTATACCAGCCTGCAATAGATTAATGTGTCCGTCCGTCCCCTTTCAATACTTTAACGAAGTGAAATCTCGTGGGTGTAAAATCAGCAATAGACAGCGCAGAGACTTGAAAAATTCCAATGTTCCTACCAGCCCACCCTGCAGGGACCTGTTAAATATTTGTACACTGCAAATGACTCTTACGGATTGATACCCCACGGGGAGGGGGCGGTTGGGGTGAGATCGGAGTCGTTGCCGCTGGTAAACCGTGGTGTGTGGAGCCCCCTGGTGTGGGTAACCGTGGTGTGTAGAGCCCCCTAGTGAGGGTAACCGTGGTGTGTGGAGCCCCCTAGTGAGGGTAACCGTGGTGTGTGGAGCCCCCTAGTGAGGGCAACCGTGGTGTGTGGAGCCCCCTGGTGTGGGTAACCGTGGTGTGTGGAGCCCCCTGGTGTGAGGTAACCGTGGTGTGTGGAGCCCCCTAGTGAGGGTAACCGTGGTGTGTGGAGCCCCCTGGTGTGTGCCCCACCCCGTGCGGTTGCAGCGCGTGACGATCGAGCCGCGTGTGCGATAACCTCGACCAGGAATGACAATTCGCGTTTGCGTGCCCACTCCAGCAGCCCCATTGTGAGGCCATAGCGGGGTGATTAGACCGAACGTTTAGTCTCAAGTCTCTCCGTGTTCTTAAACCACGCTGTGGGTCACAACAACACACTCACCTACACACTCACACACTCACTCAGCACACTGTGGGTCACAACAACACACTCAACCACACACTCACCTACTCACTCAACTACTCTCTCACCACACTGCGGGTCACAACACACAAAGATAAAGATCCCCCGTATAGCCTTAACAGACTGTAGGGGCAAGTGCTGTTAGCGAGCACCTATGAAGGCCGGAACGGTACACGAGGGGGTGGGTGGCCAGCACCACGCCCGACCGCCTTTGTCTCCCTAGTGGCGATATTTACACACCGCACCAGGTACTCATTTAAGGCTGAGTCGACCTAGGGGAGGCCCGGGACCGGTTCAGATAATCGTCACTGGTGTTGGCCGTGAGCGGGAATCAAACCCGGGTCGCCAGGTTCATAGCGCAGCGCGCTAACCGCTACACTACCGCTCCTACTCACTCACACACTCACTCACCACACTGTGGGTCACAACACCAACACACTCACTCACCTACTCATTCACCTACTAACTCACCCACCTACTCACTCGCTACACTACGGGTCACAACACCAACACACTCACCTACTGACCCACCTACTCACTCACCACTCTGCAGGTCACAACAACACACACTCACCCACACACCTACTCACTCACCTACTCACTCACCACACTGTGGGTCACAACACAAACACACTCACTCACCTACTCATTCACCTACTAACTCACCCACCTACTCACTCACCACACTGCAGGTCACAACACACACACTCACCCACACACTCGCTTTAAACTCGCAGTTTAAGCATTTATTTCAATACATCATTTATATCGGCACGAAAAGCAGTAATTTCCCTTTTCAAAACGAGTGTGATGTCTTTCAAAACCAGCGACGCTACTACGCCTCGCTAAGTAACATCAACGCTGAGCCGCTTCGCACGTTCCGAGATTCCGGCGGTGAACGGGACCCTGCAACTTGCAGACGTCCCGGAGTGGGAGATGATGAGATGGATCCACGTAAACGCTGTAACGCCATCGACCCCCCCCCCCCTCTCTCTCAACCCTCCCCTCCCCCCCGCCGCCACCCGCACCGTCTTCCCCCGTGCAAGGTGTTCATGTGCCTGCCGTCGGACTTCGTGCTGAGCCTGAAGGACCTGGAGAACTGGGGTGAGAACCCTCTCATGCAGACCAACCCGGCGCAGGCAAAGGAGGAGCTGCAGAAGGTGCAGGGCTTCCTCGTCACCATGCCGCTCGGCTTCCTACAGGAGGAGAACCTTCTCCCGGCCTTCAACACGAAGGAGGGAATGATGCCCACTGACCTCTGGACATGAGCGGGACGTTTTCCCTCCCTCCTATCAACAGACAAAAAAAACGAGGGCAGAAATTCTGAGACTTTTACATTTTTATTCCTTCCGTTTCCCAACGCTTCCAGCGTCTCGGCTGCTACCACCGTCTTCCACGCGGGCGTGCGGCGGCGGCGGCGGCGACCGCCCACACGCCAGTCGGCGCTCCGGACGTTCCATCGGGAGCGACGCGGCCGATAGGCGAGCGGCGTCCTTGCCTTTTTATAAGCTTCTAACTGTAAACGGACGCGTCCGGAGAACCAACAGAAAATCTTCCAGGGCTGTCGGTGGCGAGGTCTACGCGCAGTTGGTGGTCCCCCACAGTTTGGCGAGGCTCTCCGGAGAAGTTTGGTCGCCGCCACCGCCAACTCATTTCGGAGGCCGTTGGAAGTCACCGCCATCTGTCTCTCTCCACCTCCCGGACTCGCGATCGTCCGTGCCGCTGTACTGTACTCATGCTGTCCTGCAGGGTGGTGGGGGGGGGGTGAGTTTCTTCTTTGAAGAAAAATAAGAAATGGGTAGGGAACGGATGATGAAAGAGAACCGCGAGAAAATAATAACGGGCAACGATGTGAGCCAACGACCGTAGCGGTGCAGCCTTGGTGGCTGGGGCCCGTCTCTCGGCATCGCTCGAGGCTCGGACACTCGAGACTCCAGCAACCGCGCACGGGCACGCTCACCACGCTCCCCTCTCCACCCACCATGAAGGGCGCCCAACGTCACCGGTCAACTCGCGCCTCCCGCCGAAACGTCCGCGGGCGGCTTTAGCGTACGACTGCGCCTGCCTGGCGGCGGTCACGATGAGCCCCGCACGATGTCGCTCGTGTGCCGAGTTTGACCGCGTGCCGAGCCCTATCGCGCCGAGTCCGGGAGCACCGAGTCCGACCGCGCGCGTTCCTCCAAACCGCGCGACGGGCGACCGTGGATTTTACCGGTGGCATTTTTCCAAATTTGGGAGACGAAAAAAAGTTGGGACCGTCGTGGTTCATTTCGCCCGCAGTGACGAACTGGGGATGCGCCTGTCGCTCCTTTTAATTTTTTTATCCGTTTTCCTTTACGTTCCGTAACACGTGCTGACATGCAACCGTAACGTGCACCTTATCGTTGTTCGCCGCAAGCGCGCCGCCGTAGGATGCAATACTAGGAAAGTGCCTCTGGGGAACAGACCCCTCCCCCTCTCTCGTCACCTGCGCGCGACGGGAAGGGCGGCTGGCCTCTCGCGAAAACGAAAAACGCAAAAACGCCGCGCGTCCCGGGGTTGAACCGCGGCGCTCGTGCCGCCGATTGAAGGGCTCGTCTGAGCTCGCACACCGAGCCCACGTTTAATAATCGTTCATATGTTTTTTGTTACAACGATTTAGTCGGTGGGTTTATCGGCGATGGTCAAAACGTTGCAAGGCAAGGGCCCCCCCCCCCACCCCCCCTCTTTCTCACCCGCCACTCCGTTGAGTTATTGGACTGGTGGCATTTTTCCAAATTTGGGCAAAAAAAAGTTTGGACCGTCGCGGTTTCTTTAGCCCGCAGCAGTGAACCGGGATGGGCCTGTTGGATCCTGTTGGATCCTGTTGGTTCCTGTTGGTTCCTGTTGGATCCTGTTGGTTCCTGTTGGATCCTGTTGGATCCTGTTGGTTCCTGTTGGTTCCTGTTGGATCCTGTTGGTTCCTGTTGGATCCTGTTGGTTCCTGTTGGATTCTGTTGGTTCCTGTTGGATCCTGTTGGTTCCTGTTGGATCCTGTTGGTTCCTGTTGGATCCTGTTGGTTCCTGTTGGATCCTGTTGGTTCCTGTTGGTTCCTGTTGGATCCTGTTGGATCCTGTTGGTTCCTGTTGGATCCTGTTGGATCCTGTTGGTTCCTGTTGGTTCCTGTTGGATCCTGTTGGTTCCTGTTGGATCCTGTTGGATCCTGTTGGATCCGAACCACCACCACCGCCGCCAGCCACTTTTACCAAGTTCTGCCCTTGTCACCACCTCCCTCCCCGACTTGAGTTATCTAGAGTAGTGCTTCTCAACTGGGGGTGAGTGGGGGGTACCACATGGCAATGTCCTAGGGTGGGGATACTGAACCACTGCCCTAGATCAATTAGTTACACATTTGTGTATTCTCACTTGACTAAGACAGCATGGGTTCAAAGATTGACCTATACACGTCGGATGCATTGATCCGCACTTGCCTATTTGATGTACCGTGAGCAATGTTTCATTTTAGCAGCACGGTGGTGTACGTACACTCGCAATGCGTACAAATGCTTTCCGTGCGTTCCGCTTTGTACGCTCTCTAGAATGTATGAAAACTGGGGGGCCCAGAGCACCGTAAGAGTGTTTGTGACTCCGTAGCCACCACGATGAGCGAAATAAGAGTTACGATACCTGGGTGTAGTTCTAAAGTTACGATAAATCGTATGGGTCGTCATCGTCAGGACAACTCGCATGTTGAACGTAACCGACAGTAACTGAGCGCAGCTAATGACATGTAATTATAGCAGTCGATCACAACACTAACATCATCGTTAAGAACGTCAACATGCTTACCTCAGCCACAGACTGGCCTAAACGATGACGTCATGGCGGCCATGTTGCATGGGGGTCTCCATGGGGGCCATGTTGCATGGGGGTTGTCGTCCTGGCAGGTGATTGGCTGATGTAGTGGTAGGGATGCTGTAATTCCTAGCAACAACTCTTACGAGAGTTACAATCTCACTACGACTCCCGTGTTTACTTAAACTTGCGATCGGTCTTTTCATACGACATTTGTAATCATTACCACAATCATGGCCTGCCAGACTTTGCGAGAGATCTCAAACAGCATTCTTTTTGTGCACTCAAGCGCTTGATTTGGAGCCGCCATGAGAGCGAATCGATCGCGAGACGAGTGGTGGCCATGCCTGCTTTCAAAGCTATTGAGATGAGTTGATGACATCGGCAACCGGGAGAGGATGGCTCCTCACAGCTTGGTCTCCGGTATCTTAAGGAACAGAGGTAGGAGTGATTTGCCGTAGTTCTAGTTTTGGGCGGCAGGCTTTGCGCAGTGGGTAACGCTCGCAAGAAGAGCCCCTGCGTTCGATTCCCGACTCCGGCACCTTCGTGTGCAGACATATGTTCTCTTCCCCCCCCACCCACCCCTGTTCTGCATGGATTTCCCTCCGGGTTCTCCGTTTTTCTCCCACAGCTAAAGAAAACCGGCATTGGCCAAAGCAGCATCTCAGTGCGGAAATAATTCCGTGCAAAATGACTATTGGGGGAATCGCACACAGCGGCAACACCCCCCCCCCCAGCCCCCCACTCCGCCCTCCCGCCCACCTGCTGCGGAAAACTTGGTCAGGACCCTTGAGGCTCTGCGAGGCTTTCCTCGGTTCAACGAAACAACATTTGGCGTGAAGATATAATTCCTAATCATAAGGGCACCGTCTGGTTTGTGGCAGATATGGCGTTCCTGCCCCCCAACTAGTTCTGCCCGCGTAGGAAGAGGAGTTGTAATAAACTCTCCTGCACCTCGTGCTCAGTTCAGAGGTGACGGTCAACAAAACCTTGATCTGAGCTAGTCCTGAAGCCACGGTGTGAGGGGAGGGGGGAGGCCGCTGTTTGTTGTCCTTTGTTTAAAAAAAAAAGTGCCCCCACGAGAAAAAAAATCGATCGCTGTTCCCCCTCCACGTGCACAGCGGGGAGGGGGTTAAAACTATTTACTCATTGTGACGCATGACTGTTTACCCATTGTGACACACGCACTCACGTGCTCTCTGGAGTCATCGCGAGTCACGCTGCTGCTGCTGCTGTTCTTTCGCGTGCCCTTGGAGACACGCTGGGGTGGGGGGGGGTTATTCACAATTCACTTTGGGTGGCAGCGTTGGCCGCCCAGCAGTGTTAGCCCTCGTGCCCCCTCGCAGCAAGAACAATTCCTGGGTTCGATTCCTGGCTCGGGCGCATTTCCCTTTGCAGAGTTCATACTCTCTCCCCCTCCCTGTTCGGCATGGGTTACCCCTCCGGGTTCTCCTGTTTGCTGCCGTAGCTAAGCACTTCTTTTTTACATACCATGTAATGGTGAGCCATCGCTATGAGGAAGGTGGAAACATTCAACACTTGAATGCTTGCCAATTACATCACACAACTCAATCATTCGAATTAATGCCAAGCTGTAGTTGTATCTTTTGGTTTTTTTAGCTGGCTCCCATTGCGGCCCAAGGTGACACGAACAAAGTGTCCATTAGTCTCGTCAGGAGGGGATTGGCGTTGCTGTTCGTTGTTCCGATAAAAGTCATTCGCGAGCAATACGGGATCACTTGGGCCACGACGCCCGTAGCGCGCGGCTTAACTCTCGCCTCGGTTTCAACGTCACGCGGTCTTCAACGTTCCACTGTGACACGGGCGAGGGTGCGGAATCCACGGTTCGTCACCGCGTCGCGGTACCAACCAGGACGGGGCCCCCCCCCCGGGCGCTTGAACCAACAAACCTCCGCAACAGAACGGAGCCCCCCCCCCCCCCGAGTCCCGCGGCGCCCTCGCTGCTGCGCGGCCGCAGCCGCGGGATGTCTCTTCGCCGTCGGCGCGGCCCTCGGCCGGTGCCGGCTCGCGTTAGGCTCTCGGCGGTCGCGCCTCCCGCAGGCGGCGGCGGCGGCGGCGGCAAGCGCCGTGTCCGCGGCTTCGTCCGCCGTCGTCGTCCTTCGGCATCCGACGTTCCGGGCGCTTCGCTCCGCGGGATTTAGGGAGCGTCGTCGGGTGACCGGGAGTCGGGGCCAGAATCGAAGCGCCGGGGGCGAGGTCGCTGCGATTCGCCGAGGATGTCGCAGCGTGAACGTCGGACGTCGGAGCCAAATGAAATGTGCCTACAGGCAGCGCGGAGGGTGGCGGGTGCGGCGCCCTTCCACACTTCTGATCCGTGCTAAAACAAAAACTCCTCCCAACGTGTATAGTGCCTTCTCGTTATCCACTACAGCAGCAGCAGCAGAACTCGTCCTGCGGTCAAATATGAGCGCCGGAGAGACACAAGTGGTCAGTCTGCCTTGCTTTCTCGACCAAACTACACATTCCGCCTCTCTTGACTGGCAAACCTTCATTTTGTTATCCGCGGCAAACCCTGCCCCCCCCCCCCCTCCCCGTCCACTAGTCCCGTGGCCTCCCCACAGGCGGCGGATCCTGACAGGGGCTCGTCCACGAACCCCCCAGCGCCAACCGCAGCCAACGCCGGGACGAGTGGAAAGTCCTGCGGGTGTGGAGTGGCGTAGCGTCGTCTCTCCGGTCCACTGACACGATGACGTCACAATGCCACAATCACGTCACGGTGGCGTAGCAGCAGGTTGGCGCGCCGCCGCGTTACGAACCCGGTGGCCCGGGTTCGATTCTCGCTCGCGGCTACCAACACCAGTGACGATTGTTTGAACCGGTCCTGGGGCCCTTAAATGCGTACCTGGTGCGGTGTGTAAACATCGTCACTAAGGGAGACAAAGGCGGCCGGGCGTGGTGCTGGCCACCCACACACCCCCTCGTGTGCTATTTCAGCCTTCTTCATAGGTGCTCGTTAACAGCACTCACACTGACAGTCTTTTCAGGCTACACGGCGGAGGAGCATTGGCGCCCCTCGGCATGTTCTCGGATAAAGCATGGCCAGAAATTAAACAAAGCATGGGCAAAAGCATGCGTGTTTGGGCCACGTTCCTTGCTGGAATTTATTTAAAGTACAAAAATGTCACCGCTACTCGTCGGCGACAAGAAATGTCCGCCGAGATGTAACGTCCAATAAGGGGATGCAAACAACGGGCCAATCCGAATTGTGTAACTTTGGTGCATTTTTTTTGTCCTCGATTTTTGTTTGTGCTTAAGCGACACGGACGCTCTAACGAGGATGGCGATACGGAACCGCCGGCACCCAACGAAAGCACTAACGCTGTGACGTCACAATGCTTCCGACCACGGCGTCGTGACGCGTGGAGTGAATTGAACGCTCCCCACTGTGGCCAATCGGTTCCCGTGTTGGGTGATCGTCATCCGCAATTAACCACCCCCCCCCCACTTCGTGTCACGTGGGGAGGGGGGCAGCCCAGCACCCACACCACCACCCCCCCCCCCCCAGCTCGCTGCGAGTCATCACAATATAAAAAAAAAATCGTCGAGTAATTTCCACGCTAACCTTACCGCGTGCGCTGTACGGTCCGAGACTGCTGCGTTCATGTTGACGCGGCTTCCCGAACATTCAACAGACCCCATTTATTATTTTGTCGTCATCCCCCGAGTTCGAACGTTACTCCGATCGCGTCCGATTGCCTTTTTTTTTGTGCGCGTACAAATTTCCCGCGGCGGCGAAGAAGATGAAGACGAAGAGGAATAAGAAGAGAAAAAGGGGTCGTTTTGAACGCTGATGAGATGGTGGTCGGTGGGGAGGGGGGGGCGGAGTCGTCATCTTTCGATGACGTTCAGCTGCACCGTGTCCGTGTTTTTCACGTGAACATGTTCAGCACGAAAGTCCTTTCCCCGACAAGGGATTCTGCTGGGCCACTTTGCTAAAGATCAAATGTACACGTAACTCTTTTTTTTACCGAGTTTATTTTGATGATGTTGTTATTCTTGCTCTAGTTCTGGCGTTAACGTAGTCGGTCATCATTTAATTCAAATAAAAGTAATATTTACCTTAAAACCAAACTGCAGAGAA